GGTTATGTTGTATATCTTAGGGATGTTGGCGGTGTTGAAGGGGATGGTCTTCATGAAGGCTTCTATCGTGGTGTTGTTAGGGATGAAAACGGTCGCGTTGGACAGCGCTGACAGGTCGTACTTCCGGTTCACTGCAATAATGGGGGAGAGGAGGGGGGAAGGGGGATAGACGAGGGAGGAGGGTGGGGGGGGGGAGATAAAGGGCTTCTGCCGCGGTGTTAGTGGGGATGAAAGTGGCCGCTTTGGCCAGCAGGTCGTACTTCTGGTTCTCGGCAATAAGGGGGGAGAGTAGGGGGGAAGGGGGTGGGGGGGGGGGGGGATATAGGGCTTCTGTCGCGGTGTTGGTGGGGATGAAAATGGATGCGTTGGCCAGCGCTGACAGGTCGTACTTTCTTTTCACTGCAATAAAGGGGGAGAGGAGGATGGGGGGAGAGGAGGAGGGGGGCAGAGGGGAGGGATAGAGGGGGGAGGAGGGTGTGGGAGGATATTCTGCCCCGGTGTTGTTCGGGAGGAAGATGGCCGCGTTGGCCAGCGCGGTCAGGTCGTACGTCCTGTTCATCGGAGGAGGAACAAAGGGGAGTGGGGAGGGGAGCGGGGGGAGGGAGGAGGAAGAGGGGGGGGGGGGGGGGGGGGAAGAGAGAAAGAGTGATAAAAGAGAGCGGGTGGCCTAGAGGAGGAGAGGAGGTTGGCGGAATGTAGTGGGGGGAGGATTTGGGGAGGATGGGGGGGGATAGCGGGAGAAATTTTTCCACGATAGTATCTGACTTGACACTGTGGGTGCTTTATTGCCATGATGTTACATGGTCAGCGGATCAAATGTTATACTGTTACATTTACATGTGATGCCAATGAATTTCGGGATTGCACTCATGTACAGTGCGTCGAGTACTCCGGGTGCCTCTGTGCCACTCTGGCCACCATCCTTCCCAGCTCTTCCGTAAGCTGCACCTTCGTTGGCGGGACTGCTGCCGCAACTCGCGACAACGATTGGCCGCGAGGCAGAGAAGGAGAGCGAGGGACGCGGAGGCGATGAGGCGCTTGTCCATGAGAAAAACCGTTGCTGAAGAAGATAGCCTTGCACACCGCCGATGAATCACGAAACTGAGTGAGTCGTGTTCAAGAATCACTGTCAACTTCGCAAGGTGCGAATCTGATGCCGATCTCTTGCAAGAGTAAGTGAGGGAGGAATGCTTATGTTGCTTCTTCTCCGCTGCTCACTCTTCTTTTACTACATGATTCACGCTGCGCCTTGTCGCTTCGGTCCGGCTAGCCCGTGTTGCGGAGCAAGCAAGCACATGCGGCACTGCAAGAAAAACTCGCACATTCCATGATAGCATGGTGGATAGGTAGGTACGCGTGGTGATTGCATGGTGCATATGACTCATACGCGCGGTGGAATTTGTTGTTTCGAAAGCTTCCTGCATAGTAGCAGGTCCATCCAGCTGCCAGCCACCCAACCAGCCAGCCATTTTGCCGCGTGAGTTGAGGAATGAGACAGCATTCAGCGAGGCGCGGTGGGTTTCATGCTCGCACATTGCGTTTGCGATAAGGACGGTCCAATAAGGACCATAAGATCAAGGGCAGGCTGGGGCCGCTGGTGACCAACTCGGCGGACACTTTGTGCTTATATCGAAATCCCGTGATTTACGGTGTGTGCCTAGCACGCGTCTACATACAGTTGAGTGAGGTTCTTCGTCAAGGTTCTATTTATCTTTTTTTTTTTGTCTGATTGTCTTAATCTGGAAACTGCAACTCCTATTATAACGACACGTTATGTATAAAGTTTTACATAACTGTTTAGTTTGTCCAAGAAGTGCATAGTAAAGTGTTCCAATTTCTTGTACATCAACCTGAAGCCACAATTTCGGGTTTGCAAATCAAACAATCAAACAAAAAAAGTATGATAAAGAGAACCATGTTCTTCGTGTTCCATGGCGCAAACTTTTGGCGTGTCCAGCGCATTCTTATACTATTCAGTTGGCGTCACAAGTACACCCTGAATCTCGTTTGTCTCAAATCACGTAGCATAAAAATGCGGATGCAGTCATTGCCAAGATCGGCTTCTTATCACATTGTGAAATGGAATTTCACATTGCCTTGGACCACATATGGCTTAGTGTGGGAAAAAACACAGACCTTAACGGGTTGAGCTGCTGGTTCCAGAAGCTCCGCGTCATGTGAACCCTCCACTCGGAACATTCTGTTTTATTCTGTCGAGCGTTGACGGTTCGCTACAGTGCGCGGGTCTTTCTGGCTGTTGCGATCCCTTCCACTCCCTACTGGGTTCCCTCCACGTGGGACCGAATACTCGTCACTCCATAATACACCCCTACTTCTTCGGGGTCTCGGGAAATACCCCTGCCTATCGGTTCCCCGGGCGGTCATGTACAATCACATTCCGAAAAAAATAAAAGCAGCCGGCCTGACATACACATATTGATTCTAACGAGATTTAAACAGGTGTACGCAAAAATCGTGCGTTTTTAGCGAACACTTTCGAAGCGTGTCAGAAGTCGTGTTGTGCACGTTTCGAAAGCGGCTGGAAATCATGCACGGAATTAACTTCCGCAAGAAACGACAAATCCTGGCTGGCGAAAAGAAAACACACCACTTTGTCCTTCTCGTGCAACTTCTTCACTGCCGAGGCAAATAAAGCGAGGCTTTTCAGGCTAGTAATAGACCTATCTCGCGCCATTTTCTCAAATCACTGTATGTTGTCGTTAGTGGTACTGTAGCTTGTCGTTAGTGGAAGGGTGAGAAGTTAGCGCTAACCAGGAAATTGGCACTAATTTTACAAAAAGGCATGCGCGTGAAACTCTCGCTGACCCGGCAAGCGCCAAGAAGCTGATGACGCGGCATCACCATGGAAATGGATGGTTTGTCGCTGGCCACAAAGCCTGAGCAATAGGTGGTCCAGCTCGGCTACAATCCCCATCGACAAACCATAATCACCCGCGTGGCTAATCATCTGACTCATTTTCACCCTTGCTTGTGGTGCTCTTTGGGCTCTGATGGGAGGAGATTCCATGATGAGGTCAGCTAGTTTCGGACTTGGCGAGTTGTGACTCGAGCTTATGTAAAGTTCTGATATTCACACGCGTCAGTCTGGGGCGGCAGCTGGCAGGTGGTCCAGGAAGACGACAAACCTGAGAATTTGCTGGGTGAGAAGTTGGCGCGGGATAGGTGTAACGGAACTCTGCTGATTTCGCCAAACTATTTTGTTTTTCGCTGCGCATAACATTTGTCGTGTCAAAGACGGGAGGCCGAGCCAAGTATGCTCTCTGCAGTCGAAAGACGAGCCTCGCGACATCTACAGTCGCCGTAACAATTTTTGAACATGTACAGAAGACGTAAAAAGCGCGTGTTGGGCAAAAATGAACGCGCTGGACATGCCATTCGCTTTGGGAATGGTGGAGGAGAACCTCTAGATGTGTTCATGTCCCGAATCTTCACGTCCCACGCGTTGCACCGCACTACAGCTCGAACTCAAACAACTGCACCGCGCTGTACCACACAACACAAACGTCAAGACGGGGTTACGGGAACCAGGAATGCGCCTACGTAGTTGGGCTCGTTTTCTACGGTTCAATACCTTTTACTCTGGTCAAAGGCGATACTCAGGCTGGATACTGCAAGCAAATCAGCCCGCTTGCACTGAAATCTTCCAGTTTGATGGGGAGGAGAAAGCTGTTACGAGAGCTAGGTAGGTAGGAACGTTAGGAAGCCATGAAAATGGCGTGAGGGTTTAGCTAGGAGAAAGTTATGAGAGAAAAGAGAGGGAGAATAAAAGAGAGAGGCATACAAGGAGGGGGGTTGTACCCTCTACAGTTGGTTGCAATAACACCTACCAAGCCTACCAATTATATAACAAAATATATAATTTAACACACCCCCTAGGCTTGGTAGTAACAAGTCCACACACACCCACAACCCCTAACCTAGCACCCCCATTCCCAGCAGCAGCCACGACTACTCCGGAATCGGTCAACACCCACGGCCAGGGAGATGGCAATGGCGGCAGCGGTGGTAGTGAGGAGTGCGGCGGCGGCGGCGGCGTGCAGCGGCAACAGGCCAGCGGCAACAGCGGCGGCGGCCGCGGCGGCTTCAATGTCAGAGGCGACTGCAGCAGCCCCCGCCCTCTCGACGGCATGGCCAATCTCCGCGGCGATCGGGAAGGCCCTCACGAGGCAGGCGTCGGCTGTGGCAAGGAAGAGGGGATGCAAGGGAAGGAAGGGGGGGTGGGCGGGGCGTGGTCCAGAATCACGCCCGTGGCTGGCGAGCGGGCGGCAGGTCTAACGGCGCCGCAGACGTTGCGCGGCCGGCTGCAGCCCGACGACGCCGTCACAGAGCGGCGTCGATGCCGCGGCGGGACGTCGACGCTGCGACGGCAGCATGACGGTGCCGTCACGCCGCCACAGCTGGACGTCGACGCCACGACGGCGCGTCGCCGCGGCAGCGCGTCGAGACGGCCGCGGCATGACGACGCCGCCGCCACAGCAGCACGACGCGGCCACCATGGCAGCGCGAAAGGGAGAGAAGGAGTGCACGGCGGAAGTGTGGGGAGCAGGCCCGGGAAGGGGGACCTGCTCCGTTACCATGTCACGAGAGCTAGGTAGCTAGGAACGTTAGGAAGCCATGAAAATGACGTGAGGGTTTAGCTAGGAGAAAGTTACGAGAGAAAAGAGAGGGAGAATAGAAGAGAGAGGCATACAATGAGGGGGGTTGTACCCTCTACAGTTGGCTGCAATAACACCTACCAAGCCTACCAATTATATAACAAAAACTATAATGTAACAAAAGCAATCGGTACCGCACTAGACCTAGCACAGCGGCAGGGTTGTAGACACTGATCATATATTGATTTTTTTTTATAACAGCCTAATTACACAAAATCTTACATCCAACCCCTCAAATTCCACAGAAGGGTGTGTCACAAGAGCTCTTATTTCATCTGAAACCCTAAACAAGCATTCTATGTGATTTAAGAAAAAAACTATAAAATGCATCACCTTACCTAACCGCAACAAAGTAATATCTTGTTCTGACAAGCTCTAAGAAACTGAATGTGGGTGCATTATCATTTGTGGACATGGGATCACAACATTTCTATGTACAAGCTGAGCTACCAATGATCCCAACATCCACCAAAGCTTCTAGATAGAAGCACCCCATAACTTGCCATCAGTAAAACCTCCACGCCCTCACTGAGTCGCGCACAATGACTGCTGTGCGGTCCCCCGTCCTCATAACGAGAGGATGCGATGCGATCTTGGACGACTCGAGTCTTCTTTATTCACATTCAGCAGCCTTCAAATCGCACCCAGCTGGCCCCCCGCTGCAGTCCCGCTGCCTTCAATATGCATCCTAGCCGCTGCATTTGCTCCCCTCCTCTAACGGGCCTCGTCCGTTGCCCTGTCTCCATGATTGTCACCCCCCCCTATCCCCTTTCCCCTTCCCTCTGACCCACTCCCCCCTCTCTATCCCCCTCCTATCGATGCCCTTTCCCCCAGTCTTGTGAAGCACCTTGCCACGTCTTGCTGTAGAAAGGAATTATAACCCAAAGGAGCCAACCACTCTCATCTCCCCATCTGTGTTCCCCTCCATGCTTCTCCCTTTTCATCTTTCACCCCTCCATTCGTTGCCCCCTACAGCCTTCACCGCTCCTGCTCCATCCTTCACCTCCTCCTTCCTCATCACCGCACATCACGCCTTGGTGCCAAGGGGATCAGAACCTTGCTCACGCCATGCGCCACAACGTACGGCCCATCGTACATGGTTGGAGTCACAATGGTCGTCCACACCCGCCCCCTCCACTTGCTTCAACGTTACCGCACATCACACCTTGGTGCCAGACGGAATCAGAACCTTGTTCACGCCATGCGCCACAAAATACGGCCCGGCGTACATTCTCGGATTCACAATCGTCGTCCACGTAGACGCCGGCGCCTTGCGCGTCCTCCCAAATGACACCCTCGGCGCATTTACCGGATTAAACTTATAAAGAGCCTGCTTCAACTGAGTCCCCACGGCCTGCCCCGGTTTCAGGGCTTTAAGCTGTGGCATAAAGCGTCTTATACGCAAGAGGTGGAACGCAGTGATGTTGTAGATCTTGGGGATGTTTGTCTTCTTAAAGGGGAGCTTCTTAAGGAGGGCTTCTGCCTCGGTGTTGGTGGGGATGAGGATGGTTGCGTTGGCAAGCACTGACAGGTCGTACTTTGAGTTCACTGGGGTAAGGGGGGAGAGGAGGGATGGGGGGAATAGAGGGGAGAGGAGAAAATAGAGGGCGTCTGCCTCGGTGTTAGTGGGCATGAGGGATGGGGGGGAAGAGGGATGGGGGGGAAGAGGGATGGGGGGGAAGAGGGATGGGGGGGAAGAGGGATGGGGGGAAGAGGGATGGGGGGGGAAGAGGGATGGGGGGGGAAGAGGGATGGGGGGGGAAGAGGGATGGGGGGGGAAGAGGGATGGGGGGGAAGAGGGATGGGGGGGAAGAGGGATGGGGGGGAAGAGGGATGGGGGGAGAAGAGGGATGGGGGGGAAGAGGGATGGGAGGGGAAGAGGGATGGGGGGGAAGAGGGATGGGGGGGGAAGAGGGGAGAGGAGGGTGCGGGAGGATAGAGGGCTTCTGCCTCGGTGTTTGTGGGGATGAAGATGGTCGCGTTGGCCAGCGCTCACAGGTCGTACTTAGAATTCACTGGGGGGGGGGAGGGGGAGGAGAGAGAGGGAGAGAAGGGGGGAAGGGGGGGAGGGACGGGGGTGAGCAGAGGGGCCATAGCGGGTTACTGTAGGTTGAGGTAGGGACTGTTTAAATGGTATCACGTGGCGCGTTGGCTAGCGCGGACAAACTAACAGGTTGTAATTGGAATTCACTGGGAGGTGAGGAGGCAAGGGGGGAGGTGGGGGGGGGGGGGAGAGGGGGAAGTGGGGGGAAGAGAGGCAGCGGACATGAGGGTGGAAGCGGAGGGGGAGGGGGGAGAAGCGGGGCGACTGCATGTCAGCTCTGCTAGAAGATCTGAAAGATCACGTAGGCGCCGCACTCATTCTAGGACTGCGACTTTTTGAAATTTTAGACTACTTGCCCCGCTGCTGCTACATCTAACTAAACGACCCAATATGTTACAATGTTACACTACTGCGGGTACTTCTTCGCCACTCTATCCGCGAGCTTCGCATGCCCCGCTTTTAATCCTATGGAGTCGACTCAAAAGACACTGTCACACTTACATGCGAGGCCCAAGTACTTCTTGACAGTGCTCGTGTAACTCGAGTACTGGGGGTATTTCTTCGCCACGCTGTTCGCGAGCTTCGACAGCTCCGCCTTCAGCTGCGACTTCGTCGGCGGGGCCACCGCCGCAACACGCGGAGAGTGTTGCGAGAGGAGGCAAAGGAGGAGCGCTGCGAGTGCAGTCACAGGGACCACGAGCAGCGTGGCCTTCATGATGACACTCCACCGCAAGTTTCTCAAAAAGACTCTTGAAGAAATTAAAAAAAAACGCCTCAATATTTGTTGCTTAACTCGAAAGAAACTGCTTCAAAGCAACCGTTCGCCCCAAGAAAATACTTGCGGCGCTCGCGCCCAGTACTAGAAGGGTCGGCGCTTCAAAGGGCCTTCGAATAAATACTATAATAGAACTTCCGACGCCTCAAAACCACAGGAATTGCGGTACGGAACTGCTGAGAAGAGGGTAACAATCGGATGCTTCGGAATTTGGCCTGTATATGTGAATCAGGCTTTGAAAGACTCCGATAGGCAGCCACCAGAAGTATGTAAATGAAGGCTCTGGGGTTCTGGCTGGTGATCATTGCTGAGCTTTGCTGAGAGGTCAAGAAACGTCGCTCCCTTCGATAATGTTTCGCTTGCAAGGCAAGTGCCGCCACGCACGCGGCGGACTCGCACTACCCGGCTCGAATCGCCATTCTACAGTTAGCGTTTCAGTCGGCCAGCAAGAGTCAGGGCGGCGCATTCAGGCGGAGAGGGCAAAAACACCAGCCGTGCTCAGAAGACCATGGCGGATGGATGGGATCGTGGGAAATGCCCGAGTCTTGGTCGGTCGCAGCAGCGGTTTCTGCTCGGCTGATCGATGACATTGCAAGGGGAAGGTACAGAAATGCTGTTGCAGGGGCAAACAAATGCGGCATGCTGCTGGTGAAGGTAGTCGGGTCATGTAGGGCGTGTTGTCGAAATGCAAGGGATTGTTTTCTAGTTCGAAAACGAATAGCCTTGTCATTCGGAAAATAAAAAGCCTTCGCGTGAATTCAATACACTGTACACCCAGATATTCGATACACGAAAAGGCGATAAGGAAACCTTTTGGTACATTCAATTTAGTTTTGGGCCACCAGCAATGTCCTGCGGATTGTTATGTCACATCAATCGAATTTCATGATTGAATTTGACGTAGTTGGCCAAAGTATTTATGTGCAAGCTGCTGCATTGGCTTAATGGCAGCAATCCGCGAAGATCTAGCAATCCGATTTGGGAACCAATCCCATAGCCAGAGGTGGCCCGCGAAATCAACCGACCATGGCGTCGCAAACACTCACTTCGCGGAAACAAACAGGTGATAATCCAGACACCATCTTTCCCGCCAATATGCCTAGGCCACATATGACGTGGTGAGCTGTCTTTGGATTTCTGAGGGAAACAGCGTGGACGGTGGCTTCACTGACTGGTCAAGGGGTTCTAAGGATGAGACCCCTTTGGCGAGACCAGAACAATAGGGAGCACTTTGAACAAAGCGGCGACTTACCCTAAAATCAGTTCGTTTTAAGTTTAGAGTAGAGCTTCCCTAATTTTTTGCATGTTTGCAACGCGCGACTAAAAACCAGGCATACAAGCGATCTTGAGTGACGACGTCGGCTATGAAGAGGGGCGGTTAGACGGAGTGGCACGAGATTTAGTTGGTGGGGTAATTAACATGGAACCCCCTGCAAGTTCCACGGAAACACCTAATGAGCAGCGAGATTTGTAGAGTTGAAGAAATAGAGAACAGCAGGTTCAATCGCGCGACTCGGAGAAACGAACTTGTCGTTGCTGGGGCTTATTCACACATCCCCAGTTGCGACATTTTCGATATTGAAACCGGCATGTATAACCCTTCAAACTTCCCTCTCGATAGCCAATTCACGCTCGCAAGACACTGTTACGTTACTGATGGCGCGAATTATGATTCGAGCTCGGCTGAATCGGCTTACAAAACGCTCCGCCTGTAAGCATGCTCAGGCGCACCCAACATTGTGCCATGCAGATTTGGCAAAGTGGGTTGAATCCGAATTTGGCGTTCTCCCCAGCCGTTCAACCATATGCAAGATTCTCAAGAACAAGAAGGAATGGCTCAAGGTTTCTCCTCGTTCCGACAAGGAATGCCGCATCCGCAGGGGCCATTACCCTGATCTCGAGGAACGGTTGAAGCTATGGATTTGTGCTGTTGCTGCGGCGGGATTACCGTTAACTCTGGAGGTGATCCAGGAGAAGGCACGTGTATTGGCACGCGAGCTTGCAGCCCACCTTTCTCTGCAGCATCGGATGGCTGCAGAAGGCACTCAACAGGATGGAATTCGCATGCCTTTTGCGGAAAGGAGAGGCTGGGGACGCAAATATGGATGGCGTCTACATATGCTACACCAACATGCCCCCCGTACTCCTACGCATCAATGTGCCGCCAAAGGACTTGTACAACCTTGATGAGTTGCCTTTGTACCCGGCACTTCAGCCCTGTTGCACCCACTCCGAGACGACTCTGCCGGGTGGCAAGGCTGCCAGAGACCGAGTGACGGTGGCACTCCTCTACAACGCGGACGGTTCCCACCACTTCCCGACCTTTGTCATTTCGAAGGTCAGGAGGCCACGCAACTTTGGGAGGGACTTCGACCCTGAGCTCTACGCGCGTTGGCGTTCCAACCAAAAGGAATGGATGAATTCCAAGGTAAGCTTCGAGAAAAATGGGTGGTCCTTTCGTCAGATTGCATTAAAAAAAAAAAAAAAAAAAAAGGGTAGTACTTTTTCCATTATGCTGTTATATGTACATTAGATCTTTTACATGTTTCCCATTTTTCCTATGCTTTTACTTGTATCAGCTCTTCACTGAATGGATGGAGGAAGTGAATGCAAGCTTCTTCCTTGAAGGGAGGCATGTTGTAGTCTTGCTTGACGATGCGTCTATCCATGCCTTGAACCCACGGTAGGCTATTGAGGAGGAACTTCTTGGCTTCAAAACCTTGAAGATGTCAAACGTGCGACTGGTCTTTCTCTTGCCGAACACCACTTGCTACATGCAGCCGTTGGATCAAGGCATTATCTCCACAGTGAAGACTCGCTTCCGCAAGAAGTGGGTGGAATAAGTCATTGCCTTGTGGGAGACCGGAAGCTTGGGAGGACGACTGTCAAGTGCAAAACCGAAGTGGCGCGATACGGTGGTTTGGCTGGCGGAGGCATGGAGCTCTGTTAGTGTCGTTACCGTGCAGCGTTGTTGGTGGCGTACTGGCTACCTCCCTACGATATGGGCGTTATTGCTTCCACATGTGAATGCAATTACCCAGTATGCAAGGGGCGCGGATGCCGCTGATATGAACGACCTTGCGGTTGCAATTTCAAGGCTGGCACTTGGGCCTCGCGCCATGAGGGCGCTGGATTTTGTGACTGCCGTTGATGGCCAGCCCACTACCGACCTGATGGAGACCGCGGCGTAGAGATGCAGTGGCGGGCATGCTGGTATGCTGAAATTGCCTTGACTCAACCGCTGACGCTGTGGGTTGAATGTCACGGAGAGGACAGATGGAGTTTGTAACGAATCGGGAGTCCATCCCGGTGTGCAATATCTTGAGAGTTCCTGTGTGCTTGCAGGTTGTTGGTTTGTTTTGCTTTGCAGGATGGTGCCATATTTTGACTCTCTGGTTTTGTTGCTCTTTGTCTCTGGTTTCGTTGCTTATGTCTCTTGCGTGCTGGCTCAATCCCCCATCTGGTGTTGTTGGTGTCGAGAATAAATTTGTTATGTGAATAATAAACCTCTGGTTTGAGTCTTTGTTGCCTTTTCTTTCGCGTTGTTTTTAGTCAACAATCGAGAAGTCGAGTCCTTTTTTACGTTTTACAAACCGTCACTCCGAGTCTCAGAAATGCCCGATGAAAAAAAAAAAAAAAAAAAAAAAAAAAAACGCGGGCGAGATTTTCGACATAATCCTTGACGAGATTCCGATCGACCATCAGGTGTTACAGTCACGTTTTATGCGCGGAATTGGGTTGATGTGATAATAAAGCGATAAGGTCACTCGGCACTAGAAACAAGCACACCTGTCGTTTCAAAAATTGTGACATGATTGAATATCTGGGTGTACACGTCTACCGAAACTGTAGAGATCTTTGAATCTTGTACGAATGCTCGGATGTCCCGCGGTCGTAAGTGAAGAGCGCTTATGGATGTGATTGCAGAACATGCCTTCCACCTTGCGCCTTCAGGCATTTACGGCGTAGCTGCCCGCCGACAAATGCGCGGTGGCGGGGTGGAGAAATGCTGGTCTGGGAGAAGGGTGGCGAGCGAAGCACAGTTTCGCCATGAACAGGCGGCGAACCCGGCGAGATTAGCAGTGCTGGAGATTCACGAAGAACGTCGTAACGTAACACCGAAGTCAACATTTGCGAACAGCGATGGAGATTTTCAACCCACCCAATGACGTAACAGGAAAGCTTCGAACCAATCGGAAGACAGCACAGGGAAATCTTCAGCCAATGATGGATGGATAATATCGAAACATTTTCATGACATTCCTCAGGGCGTTTCCAGCGCGTACGTTTTTTGTCAAAACCCTGCCCAACCGATTTAAATTTATTATCGAACCTTCTGATCCGTGAGACACCTCACCCAACCGCAATCAAACGTACGCGCCGGACACGAGGAAATTAGTTTTGATGGCTGTAAGGTATGGTAGCTGTTATAATCGAGATTCCATAGCTGCTCGTACGGGATGTTACCGAGGGCCTTGTTGCGCGTACAAAAAGCCAGACGGCCCAAGTGTGCCTTGAATTGCCTCCCTGCAAAGCGACTGTTACCTTCGTGTTGAAAATTCAGGAAGGAGAAACCAGCCGTTACATACATACCCCTCCCCTTTCAAAGCTGGAAGTTCCGGCTTGCCTACAGGCTGCGATTCGTAGAGAGTAGATACATTCCAAGGCGTGGGTAATCAACGTGAAAGGCACGGTTTGGAACGAGTTTTTACTCCGTCCGGCCACTAGACCTGCGTCGCGTGGCATTCGTCATTTCCCTGACTTTCGTGGGTCATTGTTCAGCCCACAGTTATCGGATAGCTCTTACGGTTTTTATTTCGAAGTGCGCGAGCGCACTCTCGAGCAACTTGGAAATGATCGTACAGGCTTGTCGGTATGGCTGACCGTGGCGTGCGACGTGGACGTGCGACTGCTCGCAGTCACAGCAGCAACAATGGCGACAGCATCGGTCCTGGCCGGGCCATTGCCGGCGACGTTATGGTGTGGACGTCAGAACACTGCAGACAAACGCTACGCCAAGTAAGGAGCTGACTTTTGAGTCGACACAAATGCCAGCATTGATTCTGGCCGAGCCAATGCTGGCGACGTTATGGTGTGGACTTCAGAACAATTCAGACAAACGCTGCGCCAAGTAAGAGAAAGGCTGGCGCTTAGCCAAGTCCCGACGTTTAGCCATTGAACTGTTGTAACCTCGGATGACACGTGCGAAAGTGAATCAAGGATGGAGAAACGAAAACGAATTTATAATCCAGTGGGCAGGCGGAAGCAGGCACCAAATCGGGAGCAGGCGACAGGCTTCAGGAGTGTCTGGGCTCAGAGGAAACGCTGGTGGACGTAACCAGCCGTGTCAGGCACGCTATTGCTGCTCTCACATAACTCGCAGAAACCACTTTCTTTTGTTCCTATGGGCAGGCGGAAGCAGGCGTTGCATCAGGAGCAGGCGACAAGCTTCAGGAGTGCCTCTCAGGCTCTCATCAGTGAAATGCTTATGATTTATGGAAATCTTAATGGCTCTTGTTAAAAAAAACGCGTTTATATATTTATTTTATTTTATAAATTTCTATTATCGTTCCTCTGCCCAGGCGGAAGCAGGCATTGCATCGGGAGCTGGCGACGAGCTCCAGGAGTATCTCTCATCAGTGGATACGCTGGTGGACGTAGCCAGCCGTGTCAAGCACGCCCTTGCCACATCGCCTGGTGCTTCGGAGTGGGTTGCACTGCAGCAGCAGGCGGACTCGTTGCTGCAGACGGTGGTGGATGACTTGGACTTCGAGCTCAAAGACCTCCTCCAGCGATACAGGTGTGCGCTGTAACACATGTGATGTGCATGTAACCAGTAGAGGAGGTGTTGTGTTGCTAGTTCTGTAAGCATACTCAATGCTGCAGCAAGTTGTTGGGGATGACTTGGACTTCGAGCTCAGGGACCTGCTGCAGCGATACAGGTGTGTGCTGTAGCCTGCAGCAGTGGTCTGGAGCTGTGGTCTGAGGGTGTGGTCTGGTTGGGTGGGCCTGGTGGTGTGGCCTGGTGGTGTGGCCTGGCCAGCTCATTTTCAGCAGCAGGCAGATTCGCACCAGCGTTTTCCCCCACAAATTATCCCCTCTCCTCTAAAGCTCCCCTCTCAAAAGCTTACCCCCCATGCCACCCTTTCCTTCTCTAATCTCTACTCTCTTCTCTCCCTCCAGCACGCGAGCCGCAGCCAGATTCACACCAGAGAGGCTCGAGGTCCTTTTCCGAATCGCCTTCCTGGAACCTTCGTCTGGTTCTCCTCACAGTCATGACACTGGCTGTAGCCCGGAGCACGCCAGTCCACGTGTCGCTGATGCAGCCCACGCCAGTCCAGCTGGCTGTCCACTTGGCGATGGACCCCAATATAGTGGTTCCAAAGCGGTGGGCGACGAAGGCAATAGCGCTGGTAATGGTGGTGGTGCTGCTGCTGCAAATGGTGGTGCCGATGGGGATGCTGCAGCTGCTGCTGCAGCAAGTGAAAGCAGTGGAGCTGGGATCGGAGGGGATGGGAGCCCCACGCAAGGCGCTGACGTGGCAGGGGGTCCCACAAGGGGTGCCAGCATGGACATGTTCATGCCTGAGCTCCTGCCAGATGGCGCGCTGCAGTTGGTCGGGTCGATATGCAGCAGGATCGTGGTGGCTGGAGGGGGCTCACAACTCGTGGAGACATACAGGTGGGACGACATACAGGTGGGATGACATACAGGTGGGATGACATACAGGTGGGACGACATACAGGTGGGATGACATACAGGTGGGATGACATACAGGTGGGACGACATACAGGTGGGATGACATACAGGTGGGACGACATACAGGTGGGATGACATACAGGTGGGACGACATACAGGTGGGATGACATACAGGTGGAATGACATACAGGTGGGACGACATACAGGTGGAATGACATACAGGTGGGACGACATACAGGTGGGATGACATACAGGTGGGACGACGTACAGGTGGGACGACATGCAGGTGGGACGACATGCAGGTGGGACGACATACAGGTGGGATGACATGCAGGTGGGGCGACATACAGGTGGAACGACATGCAGGTGGGACGACATACAGGTGGAATGACAAATCGTGCTGTTCTTGAAATTAAAAATGGCGAAAGGATGTTTGCATTTGAAAAGGTACCATGTATGTGGTGATGTGGAATGCGTATGGTACTCGCTTGCAGTATTTTAAAACGCATGTGGTATGGTGGTGGCATGTAACATGATACTCTACCATGCTATGTAAGATGCAGTATGTTATGCATACTTCCACCACGTTTGACTATCAGGACCAAGGAAAACGATCAAGCCGACCATATTTTAGGCGCCTCAAAACTGAGACGACTTTTGAGGCGTCTAAAAAATGAATATATCAGGACCAAGGAAAACAATCTACAATCTGATCAAGCCTGCTATCTCAACTGCTGCGCACACGACATCACATCTCCCCGTATCCCTGTCTCTCTCCTGGCAGGAAGGTGCGTGGCAGCTTCCTGAGACAAGCTGTTGACTCGCTGAGTGGCCACCTGATCGACACGGTAGTGGCAGCAGCAGTGGGCAGCATGGAGTGGGGTGCGCTGGAGGCAGCCAGCAAGCAGTGGGCGCAGCACGTGTACCTGCTGGTGAGATGGTGGCACAAATGACCGGAATGGTGGCATTGGGCATGAGGCATGGGGCGTTGGGCATGAGGCATGGGGCATTGGGCATGAGGCATGGGGCGTTGGGCATGAGGCATGGGGCATTGGGCATGAGGCATGGGGCGTTGGGCATGAGGCATGGGGCATTGGGCATGAGGCATGGGGCGTTGGGCATGAGGCATGGGGCATTGGGCGTGAGGCATGGGGCGTTGGGCATGAGGCATGGAACGTTGGGCATGAGGCATGGGGCATTGGGCACGAGGCATGGGGCATGGGTCATGGGGTGGTGGGGGGCATGGGGGGCATGGGGTGGTGGGGGGTATGGGGGGCATGGGGTGGTGGGGGCATGGGGGGCATGGGGCATGGGGCATGGGGCATGGGGCATGGGGCATGGGGCATGGGGCATGGGGCATGGGTTGTGGGGCATTGGGGGCATGGGCATTTGGGCCTGGAGCATAAGCAATGGGGCAAGAGGCACATGGGGCATGGGGCAAACACTTCAACTGAATCAATCCTCGTCTTCCCTCCCCCCTGCCTTTCCCCTGTGCCCCCCCAACCACAGGTAGGCGTTGTGTGGAGCATGGAGGAGCAAGGCAACGTGTGGAAGACATCCGCCTCCCGTCCGTCCCCGCCCATGCCCCCCTCGTCCGCACCCTCCTCTGCTCGCTCCTCAAGGACGGCCAGGTCCTCTCTTCTCATCTGCCAATCTTCCCGCTTCTTCTGTGCTTCTCTTTCGCCTTCGTTTCCCTCTGCCCTCCCCAACCCCAGGTAGGCGTGGTGTGGGGCATGGAGCGGCAGAGCCTGGAGGACATTCTCCCCCCTTCAGTCCCTGGCCACGCGCCCCTCGTCCGCACGCTCCTCTGCTCGCTCCCCAAAGACGGCCAGGCCCTCTCCACTCGTTTGCCAATGTCCTCGTTTCTCCCTCCTTCTCCCTCTGCTCCTGCCCTCCCAACCCCAGGTAGGCGTGGTGTGGGGCATGGAGCGGCAGTGCCTGGAGGACATCCTTCCCCCTTCCGTTCCCGCCCATGCTCCCCTCGTCCGCACCCTCCTCTGCTCGCTCCTCAAGGACGGCCAGATCCTCTCCTCCCTGCACACGCTCGCCCAATCAGCTGTTGCCATCTGTCGCCGCGGCCTGCCAGAGCAGCTCTTCTCCCTGCTCGAGATGCTGCAGGCCCTGCAGGAGGTCGTACCTGAGGTAGGCTCTATCTAAGAGCAGTGCTTCTACTATTCCCTTTTCCTCTATTTTTTAGCATTCACAATGCTGCTGTATCTGCTGTTCCTACTTCTTCCCTTATTTGTGGTCCACGTCTCCATACCAACAGCTGGTGGACAATCTATGCTGCATGGGCCCCTCACTTGAAGTGGTACTCGTTATAATAATCACACCCACTCTCCGTTGCTTGTGCTACCCCCCCTCTCTTCCACATATTCCCCACACCAACAGCTCGAGGACAATCTCTGCAGCGTGGGCCTTCACTCAGAATGGCACTCGTTACAGTCACTCCCACTCACCCTCTCCCTTGCCGCGCTACAGTCACTGCATGCCATGCAGAACACCATCGCCCGTGCCACCTTGCCCCCCCTGCATGAGGAGAGTGCTGGGGAGAGAGGAGGGGAGAGAGGAGGGGAGAGAGGAGGTGAGGGTACAGCAGGAGGAAGGGTAGGGGGTGTGGAGGGAAGGTTTCAATCAGACAGGGGGCCAGGGTGGGGGCCGAGGAACCTCAGGAAGACCAGGTCGGCTGTAGCGTCAATGGCTACATCCTCCAGTCCTAGAGTAAGCGCCACAAGCCCCACACCTGGTGCCACGGCGTCAAGCCCTAGTCTTGGCGCTACAGCTGCTAGCCCTAGGCTGATTGGATCGGTATCGAACCCTCGCAGCAGCTCTGTTCCTGGGCTCACCAGCCCAAGATGGGGTGCAACGGCTGCAATAGGTGCTACAACTGCGCTGGGTGCCACAGCAGCAGCCGGTGCTACAGCTGCCTTGAGCGCTACAGCAGCAGCTCTTGTCAGTCCCAGAGTACGGGGGGCAGTCAAGATGCTCACTCGCAGGCTGTCAGACGCGTCGGTGCCAGCCAGTGGTGACTTGTCAGGTGGTGCCGGCTCCGCTGTGGTGGCAGTGCCAGCTGGCGGAGGCGTGGACCCGGTTATCAGCTATGTCTGCAACTTCATACGAAGCTTCCTGTCCTCGTGAGTGCTGCTTCCTTCCTTATGTTGTTCGGCACGTGTGTTTGCAACCAGCATTTATGTGCTGCGACTCGTCAACCTTCCCCTTTGCTCCATTTTGCTCGTCGTCCTCTCCCTCCCCGCCCCCCCATCCCTTCGCCTCCCAGTCCCCCTCTCATTTCCAGTCCTCACAACTATGCTGCCAGGTGTTTTTGAGAATTCTCTTAAACACCACGTTGATGGCAGCAGATCTTTGGACATCTTCCAGTGAGCGCATTTTTTTTAGGCGCCTCAAAAATAGACTCCTCACGCATGCCTCCCAGCCCCCCTCTCATTTCCAGTCCTCACAACTATGCTGCCACGTTCATGGCAGCATGCAGCCTCGTCAATCCTTCCCCCCCCCCCTCCTCTTCTTCCTCTCTTCCTCTCTTCCTCACCCTCTCCCTCCTTCCACTCCCCTTCTCAGCTCGGGTCGTCGTATCTATGCAACCAACTTGACGGCTGCATACAGCCTTGTCAAAACTCCCCTCCCCCTCCTCCTTTGCTCCCCGTCCTCTCCCTCTCCGCCCTCCCATCCTCTCACTCGCCCTTTCAGCTCGGGTCGTCGCAACTATGCTGCCACCTTGTTAACCCTACCTTGTCAGCATGCAGCCTTGTCAACCCTGCCCTTTCCCCCTCTTTTGCTCCCCTTCCTCTCCCTCTCGTCCTCCCATTCCTCTCAGCTCGGGTCGCCGCAATTATGTGACCACCTTGACGGCAGCATGCAGCCTTGACAGCCTTCCCCATTCCTCTCTTTTGCTCCCGTTCCTCTCCCGCTTCATCCTCCCATCCCCTCCCCTCCCTCTTCGTCCTTCCACCCAACTTCAGCTCGGGTCGTCGCAACTATGCAACCACCTTGACGTCAGCGTGCAGCCTTGTCAATCGTAGCAACAGCTGCACCACACTCCTCTCCCCCTCCTACTCGTCCTCCCCTACCTCCTCCTCCTCTTCCTCCTCCCATCTACACTCGTCACCAGCAGAGGCAGCAGCAGAAGCAGCAGCAAGAACAGCGCTGCAAGACTCCAGAGCAAGAGCAGCAGCAGCAGAGAAAGGTAGTGCCTTAAAGGCTGCAGCTGGTGACGGTGGTAGCTCTGCCTCTGGCTCTGCCTCTAGCTCGGCTCACGAAAGCATCTCATTTCGAACCCTTCTTCCCTCCTCTGCTGCTGCTTCTGCTCCTTGTTCTACTGCTGCTGGTGCTGCTCAAAACACAACTGCTGCAGCTAACCGTAGCGCAACCAGTGCCATCCCAACCAGCAGCAGCAGCAGAACCCCCGGCACCAGCAGCAAAGCTGTGACCAGTGGTGTGCTGACAGTTGACTGGCAAGGCCGACTGAGTCTTGATAGCAAGACCGCAAGACAGGGAGAAACGCGGGAGGGTGTAGGAGGGAGAGAGAGTGAGAGGGCACGGATTAGTCTGAGTGGGAGTGCGGAGGGTTGCGGAAGGGGGAGTGTGGAGGAGAGAGGGTTGGGGCTCGAGAGAGTGAGCGTGGAGTTGCTGGTGGGGGGGCTGGTAGCGGCTCTGAGAGACTATCTGGATATCAGAGCAGCTTATTATGAGGATGTGGCCACAGGGGAGCTGTACCAGATGAACAATCTACACTACCTTCTACAATCCATGTAAGTTCTTCTTTCTGGGTTCCATGTAAAAAGGGCTTGGACAGTCCGTATAAGATCTTAAGTCCACAATTGCCGTTTTACAATCAGTAGATTGGCAGGCATCCCCAGTCTCCCTCCCCCAAGATCCCTATATCCCCCCCCCACATCCCCAATCCCCCCCACAACCCAACCCAACCCCCCTACACCCCAGGAAAGCGTGGGATGGGTGGAGGCAAGGAGGTCTCAAGCGAGCCCTTGCTGATGCCAAAGCGTAAGTGGCCTTGCAAATCGGCCTTTCTTGGATGGGTTGACCTGCTTCTATGTTGTGGGTATCAGAAACTGAGAACTTGATTGATTGAAATGAGCAAGAGCATACATCCTTAAGTACCGAGCATCGGAGAGGATGGGAAGGGATAAGGGAGAATCGGAGGGAATCCCAAGGGAATCCTCCCAAATCGTGGGGATTTGGGATGGATTGGGTTGGGATAGGTTGGGGATGAAAACATAGCTACACCCAACCTAACAAATATGAGTATCCCTAAAACCAACAAAGTGTCAACACACAAAATTGTGCCAACCGAATTGCAGCCTATCTCTAACAGTGGGTATCACTATATATATAATATAGGATACGATCATGTCGAATCTGAAGTGCCACAGCATTTCACTGCTGCCTTTCACCCATTGTCCCATCCGGCACACCTCTCCACAATCACCCGCTCTCCACAATCACCCGCTCTCCACAATCACCCGTTCTCACCACTCACCCGTTCTCACCACAGGAACGGCAGGGTGGATCTGGTCGTAGTGCTCTCGGGGTTCATTGACCAGAGCGTGCTTGACAAACACATGGCTGCCTTCCAGACCTGCGCGCTCAGGAAGGTGGGTCTTGCTGGTTGTGGGCCTTGCGGGTTGTGGGTCTTGCGGGTTGTGGGTCTTGCGGGTTGTGGGTCTTGCGGGTTGTGGGTCTTGCTGGTTGTGGGTCTTGCTGGTTGTGGGTCTTGCTGGTTGTGGGTCTTGCTGGTTGTGGGTCTTGCTGGTTGTGGGTCTTGCGGGTTGTGGGTCTTGCTGGTTGTGGGTCTTGCGGGTTGTGGGTCTTGCTGGTTGTGGGTCTTGCGGGTTGTGGGTCTTGTGGGTTGTGGGTCTTGCTGGTTGTGGGTCTTGCTGGTTGTGGGCCTTGCCGATTGTGGGTCTTGCTGGTTGTGGGTCTTGTGGGTTGTGGGTCTTGTGGGTTGTGGGTCTTGCTGGTTGTGGGTCTTGCTGGTTGTGAGGTGACTCAAAACCTGCTGCTACTCAAAGGTCAGGGCAGCCTTGAGAGACACACCTTTTCAGCAGCTGGGTCTGGCTGCCGTCCAGTCCTGCGCCTTCAAGCAGGTCAGCTGTGCGGACCAGACCTTCACATGTCTGCAGCATCCACGTGTGACATTTCTCCTCTGCCTTTGCGGCGCCTCAGAAATATGTCAGTTGTGCCGTCCATCCAGACCTTCGCCCTCCTCTGTCTTTCATTCCCCTCCTCTGCTCTCCTGGCCACCCTTAAGAGTTTAGCATATTACCTGCTCTCCGGGCCACCCTTAAAGCCCACTGCCCAAATTGAACGTGAGCAGTAAGTTTAGCGAGGCCTGAGAAAATATCGCCAAACCATGAAGTTTTCGCTGTAGTAACTGGAGAGGTGGTTGCTGACAGCCAATCACATGCAGTTGATTTGGTTAAGGCACCAATCGCGTTTTGGCTGCAGAAACAGGGTCGGTAAAATCGCTTGGAATGTGGGCCCAAATGATCTTGGAAACGATCGAAACTAACGACGGCCCAAACGATCGACTACCCAAATCCGAAAAGCTGAAAGTTTGGAAATCGACGGTCTTGAGCCAGATGTGATTGAATATCCGAGCTCGGTAAATCTCGACCGTCAAATTCAGAGAAGTGCTGTGTGTTTGCCGAGTCCCAAAACGCAGGCTGTTTCAACTTCCATGTTTGTCGAAGGACTTTCACAGGTCGCAAACAGCCCATTTTAGTTCTAGTAACCCCTCCCAACACCCCGTTCATACGCACTGCGTTTGAAGCCCGCGGCTTGCAGTTTGGGCCGCGGACTTTAAGAGTTTAGCGTATTGCCTGCTCTCTGGGCCACCCTTAAGAGTTTAGTGTATTACCTGCTCTCCGGCCCACCCTTAAGAGTTACCTTCTGAGCATGTCACCTTCAGGCTCATATTACATGCCCCTCCAGGGCCGCCCTGTCTCCTTCACTGTCCATTCTCCAATCCTTTCTTTTCAAACAGTAGCAGCAACGTCAGACCGCCCTCCTCGCCTTGTTGTTTTCCCTGTCTGCTCCGGTTCCTCTCCCTCTAGTCTCTTGAGTCGACTCAAAAGTCACCTTCAGACCGCCCTCCTCCCCTTGTTGTTTTCCCTGTCTGCTCCGGTTCCTCTCCCTCTAGTCTCTTGAGTCGACTCAAAAGTCACCTTCAGACCGCCCTCCTCCCCTTGTTGTTTTCCCTGTCTGCTCCGGTTCCTCTCCCTCTAGTCTCTTGAGTCGACTCAAAAGTCACCTTCAGACCGCCCTCCTCCCCTTGTTGTTTTCCCTGTCTGCTCCGGTTCCTCTCCCTCTAGTCTCTTGAGTCGACTCAAAAGTCACCTTCAGACCGCCCTCCTCCCCTTGTTGTTTCCCCTGTCTGCTCCGGTTCCTCTCCCTCTAGTCTCTTGAGTCGACTCAAAAGTCACCTTCAGACCGCCCTCCTCCCCTTGTTGTTTTCCCTGTCTGCTCCGGTTCCTCTCCCTCTAGTCTCTTGAGTCGACTCAAAAGTCACCTTCAGACCGCCCTCCTCCCCTTGTTGTTTCCCCTGTCTGCTCCGGTTCCTCTCCCTCTAGTCTCTTGAGTCGACTCAAAAGTCACCTTCAGACCGCCCTCCTCCCCTTGTTGTTTTCCCAGTCTGCTTCAATTCCTCTCCCTCTAGACTCTGCCTTCGTACTTCTTCCCAAAACCCCCCTTCTCCCTTCTCTCTTCTCCTCCCCCTCGCCCCCTCGCTCGCCCCCCCTTCCCCCCTTCCTCCCTCTTGCCTTGCCGTTTCAGGCTGTAGCAGCAATGTCCGACCGCCCTCGCCCCTTAGACTTCGTCCCTGCCTGCACCAAGCCCTCGCCGTCCCTCTGGCCGTTCTCCCATGGAGATACCGGGGATCACGAGGTGCTGGCTATGAGCGAGATGCTCAGGTGAGATAATGAGATGGAAAGGCTTTTGTTATATTGAGTCGCCTGGCATTGAGGGTGCTGGCTATGAGCGAGATGCTCAGGTGAGATAATGAGATGGAAAGGCTTTTGTTATATTGAATCGCCTTGCATTGAGGGTGCTGGATATGAGCGAGATGCTCAGGTGAGACCGAGGCGCTTTATATTGAGCATGGGGTGCCATATAGTGATGTGAACGTCCCATCACCCTTTCCAGGCTAAGGGCGTTCAACAAGGCATTGGAGGAGCTGGTAGAGGCACACAAGGGGTGGGCCATAATACCCCACCACCACATCGCATCACACTACACCACTGCTCACACACACAATGCCATGGCAGGTTGAGGGCGTTCAACGAGGTAATAGAAGAGCTGATTGTGGGCCAGATGGGGTGGGTTGGCCACTGGACGCACAACACCACATCCCAGCAGCACGTCTTCCCTCACACACTGCCATCCCATCACTCCACCATGACTCCAGGTTGAGGGTGTTCAACAAGGCAATGGAGGAGCTGGTGGAGGCTCGGAAGGGGTGGGCCATCAACCTTCATCCGCATTACACTGCACTTTTATCCAAAGACGTTGCTATGGGATTGCGCATGGCAGGCTAAGGGCGTTCAACAAGGCAATGGAGGAGCTGGTGGAGGCTCAGAAGGGGTGGGCCATCCCTGATGCAGTGCTGCGAGAGCGCGTCTGCGTCGCCTGGGCTGCCTGCCTCAAAGACAGATACCGGAAACTGCTGCAGCCACGATGGTGAGATTTCTTGTGTAGGGTCTGCTTACGTCTTAGCTGATCGGGCTGCCTGCCTCAAAGACAGATACCGCAAACTGCTGCAGCCGTGACGGTGAGTGTTTCTGTTTGCTTCTGACGTGTAAAATCACTGCAGCCGTGGATTTATGTGTGTTTGTCCGAACGGATTGAACAATGGAAACTACTTGAGCGACGCCGATACTTATTTCTTATCATGCAGTTGCGTTTGGAAGCAGCAGCTCCAGCCATGCTTGTCGACGATAAGCACTTTCTAAATAAGGGCCTCAGTTGTGGTAAGCTATTGAGCTTTTGTGGTCCTCTCTTTGCCCCAATCACAGGGACGACCTGATCACATCCAAGCACTACATGCACACACCTGAGAGCTTGGAGTTGCTGATCATGGAAGATTTCTTCCATTAATGTGTCGGCAGTAAGACCGTCTTTCAATACTGTACTCAGAAATTGATGAAGCATGCGCAGAGTAAGCTATGCGCTAACCAGGGGTGATACGGTGCCGTGCACCATAGGTGCCTGGTTCCAAATAGGGAATAGGATCATCTATAATCGAGCCTGTAGGATCATCTCGAGTATTGTTGTGTGCTGTATTGCGCTATGCTTCGAAGGTATATAAAGAAGACGTCTACACAGTATGAACCATGCAGTGCTTCAAACGCGAATCGTCTGCCTTTATCGTAACTTGCCTTTCCCGCCACTCGTGGATGATGATGATGATGCATTCCGCAACCAGCTCGTTTCGCAACAGCCAGCAACGGCACCAACCTCTGGTCGCTGTGCGACTGCGCGGAGGGATATTTTTGAATAGCGTGTTCTTTACAAACGTTCATGTCCGGAAATCCCCCAGTTCGTCAAAAGTGCAGGTAGATGACGTCTCTTTGATGGGTTCCTGAAAGCAGATTGTGGAATCTTTCATGTATTGCAGGTTGCTGACGCCATCATGAACAGTATACATTGTATAAATTCCGTAAGTCGCAGATAGCGCTAAAAGTAACCAGCTCGAAAATCAGAATGAACCTATTCCTGCAATCCGGCTTCAGTACATATTGGCATGTAAAACCAGCTTCAACCCATCACCTCATACACATCCGTGTGTCGCGAGATTACCTTCAATTGCGGTTGGGAGAGATATTCCTAGGTCTGAGTTTTTATTTGAACGATCTGGAATGGTTGGGTAGGGTATTAAGGGGAGTCGTTCGCTTGGAACTCGCCAGGGTACTTGCAGAAAACCGAACATGGAACCACCTACTATGCTGTGGCATGGCATGCTCGTACACTCACTAAGAGGCTCGAATAGCTCGATGCATCCTACAGTCACAGTTCCCGCGTATTTACTGCTCGATCGCGTGTGTCGTCGTGTCATCGCGACATATCTGTGAGCTTGCTCGTGTGCCAGTACTACTCGTGAAGGTCACCTTACATGAGTACTCCAGTCCAGGTTGACTCGTGAGCTCTATCTGTGTGATCGTTCCTCCTTCCGTTCTAGACTCTGACGCGAGTGCAAATTTACGAAACCGACCCAACCATACGACGATTTACGGAGAGCGAGTCAATTGTACGGAGCCATGGGGCCGTCGGCCATGCACCCTCAACTGCACGGCGTCACCCTTCCGCGCGCGTCGCTACTGCCTGCTTCCGCGCACTTGCTCGGTTCGGCCCAGATCGACTCTAGGATCGATCCCAGGTTCGGTTCGGGCCAAACCGACCCCAGGATCGCTTCAGCCTCGCTCCAGGCGGCGACCCTCCAGTCGCCCAGCGACGGCGCCTCGTCGCAACGCGATGTCGAGATGCGAGAGTTGTTTCGAGAGTACTCCAGTAAGGACCCCCCCTTCTGTTTGCTTGAGTCCGTTTTCGTCCTTTTTTGCCAGCTTCGATGGTTCAAGCCAGCATGCGCTGACACCGAGATGCGAGAGTTGTTTCGGGAGTACTCCAGTAAGCAACGCATTTCATCAGCTCGAATCCGTCTTTTCGCCGGCGTCATTTGTACATTCGTTTTTGAGGCGCCTCAAAAATAGACTCCTCACGCCAGCGTCATTTGTAGATCCGTTTTTAGCCACCATGCCGGGACTTGGACATGCGACAGTTTGCTTCAGTGCTTATTCCAGTAGGGGATTTCTCTCTTGCCCTCGCTCTCGCTTGCTCCCGCCTCGCCAGCCAATCTAAACCTCTCCACCAGTTTTACGTTCTGACACGGTTTGCCCTATTTCCGACCTTATTGGCACACGACGTTTGCGGAACTCGTTTAGCGAACCTGTCTTTCGAAACTGTCTTCCGAACCTGTCTTCCGAACCTTTCTGTGTCCCTCTCGTCCCTTCAGGCGTGGTAACTTCCAGCGACACAGCGGCCGCTGTAAAGGCAAGGCTCGCAGCGATCACTTGAGTTGAATCGAAGTCCCTCTCGGTAACTTCGTCCCTCCCTCCATCCATCCCTCCCTCCCTCCCTCCCTCCCTCCCTCCCTCCCTCCCTCCCTCCCTCCCTCCCTCCCTCCCTCCCTCCGACCAGGCGTGGTGACTTCTAGCGACACAGCGGCCACTGTAAAGTCGAGGCTCGCAGCGATCTCGGCGTATGCAACGGCGCAGGGCTTCACAGGGTGCGTTGCAGCATCACCGGGTGCGCTCAGGTGCATGCATGCGGCACATGGTATCATCAAGCAGCACAGTGGCAGGCAGCCTTAAAGGCGAGGCTTAAGCGACCTCGGGGCCCTTTCCAGGCTCCAGGGGTTGCGTCAGTCGCTTCTTTAGATCTCTCCTTTATTTTCTTTCGTCTCCTCTCCCCTCCTCCCCTCCCTTACCCTCTCCTTTCCCTCTCCCTGTCTGCAGGGCCATGGCCCTTTCCAGTCTCCACAGATTGCGTCAATCATTGAGTGACCAGGTTGGTTAGAGCCTGAAAAACAAACAAAAATAAATAAAAGGTGTTAGGAAATAAAAGGTGGTTTTCAAATCTCGATCTTGCAAGATGGCGATCGATTGCGTCGGAGGGAAGTTGCTAGGGCTGACTTTTGAGTCGACTCAAAAGTCGCCCCCCCGTCCCTCCGTTTTCTACACTCATTCCAACTCTGCGATGAACCTTTTTCTTTCTTTCTTTCTTTTCTTTTTTTTCTCAAGACGTGTTTGTAACCCCTTTCCCGTCAAAATCTATATACAAAATTATGTCTTCATTGTGACTCCTCTCTATCCGTTCTCATTTTCCACCTCTGATTCCCACAGCTCAACCCTTTAGGGGGGAGGGCTTTTCGTGTGTTCTACAAGTTTGTATTCTTCATGTGCCGGGAGCAGGGGCAGAAGAGCGTGGGTGAGTTGCGTTGGTGCTCCGTGTGAGACACATGTAGTGTTGGTTTCATTCATGGACTTGTCGTGACACGTTTCAAAACGAGATTTGAGACGTCTCAAACCGAGATTTCAGACGTCTCAAAACTATATTATTATCACATGAGTCGTGTTTTTCCTCCGTGTGGCGCGTGTAGGGTTCGTTTCATAAACTTGTAATCTTCATGTGCCAGGGGACAAGGCCAGAAGAGCGTGGGTGAGTTGCTCGAAATGACGAATGGCATTGCAGAGGCACATGAACCCTCTACATCCCACGCCTTCCTCATCCCTCAAAAGCTCAGCCGCAACCTGCATGCACTGCACTCTACCGTTGACGCGCCTCTAAAGGCGCCGCAAAACCCTTCTACATCCCTCAAAAGCTCAGGCGCAACCTGCATGCACTGCGTTGTACTTTCGACTTCTTCAAGTCTCAAATTCTCACAAATCCCGTCCTTCAAGTTTGTTCTGAGTCCGTCTGCTCTACGAACGTTTGCTTTTGCAGGGTGTTTTTTAGATTTCTCTAGAGCACCCTGCTCTAAGAACGTCTGCTTTGAACTGGTTTTTGAGAATTCTCAAAAACGGGAGTTCATATGAGTTGAATTGGTATTTTAGAAAGCCGTGCAGGCATAGAGACTCAGCCTGGCCAAGTTCGTTCCCTTGTCAACCACCTCCTTTCCCCCCCCCCTCGACTTCCCACCATCACCTGCAGATGTGGCAACGGCCGTGCAGGCATGGAGAATCGCCCTCGCGGCAGTCTTTCCGCTTGTGGACTCCTGGTGTGACTTTGTGCCGGTAGGTTCCTCCTGCCCCTCCTCCTCCTGCCCCTCCCCCGCTTTCCCCCCCCTTTCCCCGCCTCCCCCCTCCTTCTCCCCCCGTCCACCCAACACCCCCCCTCCCCCCCCCCATTTCTCGCGTTTTCCCGCTCCCTCCCTTTCCTCCCCCCTCTCCTCGCGTATTATCCTCTTATGCCTTTCTATAGTGCTCCACCCACCCCTGTACGGCGTGTGCTCTCCGCATCACTCTGTTCCTACCCATTACCTTCACCCCCTTGTCCCTTTGCCTCTCTCCCCTCTCCCCCCCTCCCCCCCCCCCCCCTGCCTCCCCTCTCGTTTCCCCCACCCCCTCCCTTCCCTCACCCCCCACAGTTGCACCAGCGCTATGCCATATCAGAGGACACGTGGCAGCAGGTGCTGGAGTTCAGCTGCACCGTTGGCACTGACCTCAGCATGTATGACTCGGATGGTAAGCTGATGTCAGCACGAATGTCTCTTATGGAAAGT